GAACCTTCACTGTCTCCTGGCCCAATCGTTTAGGTAGCGCGGAATCGGACTGTAATTCTATCGCTGTTGAATGATTTTCTGAATCTCATTTAGTAAAGGTGAAACCGCAACTTTTTAAAATAGTTTTGGTTTTGAAGATTTTCTTGTTAGAAGACAGAGAAGAAGTACTCATCCTACCAACATTCTGAGTTTCAACTGATGCTCCGGCTCCGAAGTTGTGAGCTTGAATGCTGCTCCTGCTCCTTCTTCGTGCTCGTTATCGTGTGAGCTGCAACTCAGCGATCGGTCATGTTTGAAAGTCAAATGGCTTGCGCACAACTGCGCTCTAGATAGGCATCTTCACATCACACCCGAACTGGCCACTGATGGGATTTACATCTCATCCCCGGACAAGTTTCCATTTAAAGCATCCATCATTCCACGTTGCACTCTGAATTAGTACTTGTTGGTAATTGCGCCGGGATAAATGCAGGGTTCGAAAGTTCTCTCGGGAGCCCGACCGCGCACACCGCTAAAACGAGCAGGTATTATGTGGATGAAGTTGCGAAGCCACGGGTAACCGGGCGAGCTTCTGAAGGAAAAAGGAAATAAGGACGAGGGAAGAGAGAGGGAGGGAATGAAGAAAAAGAAGGCAGGAGCACGAAAAAAGAAAAGAAGAGACGTTCCGTGGTCGATAGATATCGTGGGACCAAGTCATCTCTGCTTTGTCTGGACCCTCTCAGCGAGGCAGCATGACATGTTCCAACATGGCTTGGTAAGCACCACAGCGATTTTCACTGTACCATTTTACCTAGCCTGCACGACGTCCCTTATCACGTGGCTAATCCTGCCTGCGTACCGAACCCTCCCAAGCCATATAGCGCCACTCGGAAATCGGAAAACCACGGCCACCTTTTGATTCGTTCGTGGGCTGCATTCTAGAGAACCAGCCGCTAGGATTTCACGAGAATGTTGTGTTGTGGGCGAAAGTCAGACCTCAGGCGAGACTCGAACCAGCACCTCCCTCTGACTGTGCAAATGCGCTATCCATTACACCACAAGAGCCGCTTGTACCTTCTCAATCATACCGAAGCGACCTCAAAATAATCGCTTAGGGGTTTTTGGATAAGATGATTGGCCTCCTGGAATTAGAGGGGTCCCCTAATTGGACCACGAATAAACACTGGAGATCCCGGTGGTCTCGTTAGCTAATCCTTTCGTCAATCGTCACTTGACCCGTGTCCTCAGCGTCTTAAAACAGTTTGTTTACTCGTGGTGACGTCATTGTCAATCAAGGAGAAAATAAACAAATGGGCTCATTTTTGACGTCATTCTTGAGGCAATCGATAGAACTGATCGGTTAGAAAAGACCACAAAGTACTCAGAAGTAAATAATAAGTCGATATTTCAGTAAATGGCGGTTGGTCGACATGGTCATCGTGGACGGGCGCCTGCTCCGCAGACTGTTTGGTATTGCGCCGTGCCCTCGAGAACAACGCTGGTTCCGAAGTGATCCCACGACTAAGGCGAATACGAACCTGTAACAATCCAGCACCTCTCAATGGTGGAGCGTACTGTTCTGGCGAAGAAGAGGTCAGAATTGTCCCAGAAGTCGTGCACCACACCGTTTGATCAGCTACTTGTTTCAGGAATTCCGCTCGTGCAATCTTACGTGTCGTTTGGATGGTCGATGGTCACCGTGGTCAGATTGGTCACCTTGTTCACCCACCTGTCACCGATTTCGTACCAGGACCTGCACATCGCCACCTCCAATCAATGGCGGTCGGCCATGTGTAGGACGTGAACTGGAAACTGTACCATGTAGTAGCGAGTGAGTTTTCTTAAACGCACATTCCACGCCTAGTGTATGGGCGGAGTCGGGCCTGCCGTTGCACCTGCTTCCCTGTCTTCGCAAGACGATAAGAAGGGGAGCCGCACCAGTTAAGGCCAGGATTGTAACCCCGACTTCGCCTATACGGCCAGTGTGGAAGCTTCTTTTGACTATACGGTGGGGCTCATTAGCTCATGCTCGAGCCCCAACGAGGCTATAGACTCAAACGTGTGTTCTTTCAGCTACTGTGTTCCATCCTCGGCCCCGCAACCTCGACTGCCCAACGATGCGACTGTCTACGCTGGATTGGCTTGTGTTCTTGTCCTGCTGGCCATCATTATGGCCCTGTGTACTGCCCTTCTTTGCAAGAGGAATCGTGGCAAGAAGGGCAGCGTGAAGAACATCTACTATGCAGAAAGTGGAGGTACGTTGAAACCTTGTGGACCGCAGTGTTATTACAAACAACCTCTTGGCCTGAGCAGTATCCCTGCATACATAGCTAGTAAACTTTACGCATTTTTGTCCCGGCCGAGTATAGTTGCCCGAAGCTGGGTAATTCGGGAGCAGTATTTTTGACGGGTTCGGTCATAGAGCTGTTGTTTGTGGCCAAGTATCGATGGCAGCACCGCTTATGCAAATTTCGAAAGCCACCATAAGTTCCGGAATCGGCATAATCCAAGTGGCGGCGTTCGGCGACGAATTCCCTCGGTGGACGCCATCCTGGATTTAATTTGACGTCGAGGGACCGACAATGAAGAATAGCCGCGAGTTGAGTCACCTCGCCGCAATAGCCATGCTTGAGGGGTCCCATTTTGGTGGTGGGGGGAGTCGTTGGAACTGGGAAATCGTGAAGCATGTCGTGGCATCGTCGCGGCATCGCTCGCTAGTGTCTGAAAGTTTCTTGATTTGAAACATTGCAACTCGGAATCAAAGTAGATCTTAGTGGTAGGTTGGAATTTGGAGTGACGCGAAAAATTGAAGGTGCTCGTACCAACCAGAGGAGGTTTTGAATATCCATCTTTGAACACATCCGCGTGACACTCATGGTGTGTCACGTTAGCCTGGCGCTGTTTATCGACGGGGTGCATTCTGCTTTCATAGCGTTTAGATTTGCCAATCCATCTAGGTACCCTTTTTTCGAGTTGACACGTTTTAGGATGGTGGCTAGACGATCTTGCTCCAGCTTCACAAGCGTTCACAAGTTTTACCAGAGTGAGATTTGTAAAACCGGAACTAGGGAGCACTTAATTCCCCCCCCCACGTTAGCCTTGCCTGGAAAGGGTCAGACGTGAACGCCACAGGAAATAGGCGTCAATCGGGAACTTTCTGAATAGGCACAGCGTCTATGCAGTCTTCAAACACTGCTCACTTATGTGAAAAAACTATTTTTCCTATTTTTTATTATCTCCTTTTCAGCACATGTCCGACGCGTCCTCCTCGAACAACAACAAAAAGCCTTGTTAGCCGACGAATGTATAAAGGTCAGCGGTGGCTCTCCAAATTGCTTTCTCATTGAGATTGTTCCATTAAATGGCTTGCCACTGAGCTCGAACTCAAATGGAAACTTTCAGCCGCCGCCACCAGTCGGTTCGCAGTTCTTCACTCTTGGAAGCACATGTTCTCCGTCACCATTGCATCCATCAATGACATTACGATCAGGGAAAAGCGGATACAGTGGCTATTCTGCGAACCGGAACGCTGGTACGGTAACTTTCATGCTCGGAGCTATACTCACCCCCTAGTATGAGCCTTCAATGTGAATTCATAAAAACGGCGAATGCTCTCAAGTCATTGCCTTCAATAGCCTAAGCAGCTCTTACAGGTGTTGGTAGTATATAGTACTGTTCGCTACAGATGCTGGGGCGTGTCAGGAGAGCTGGATTGTGCACGTTTTTCACCAGCTCCATCGCTTCCTCGCTTCAGCAATTATTAAAGAATGGGTAAGCATCGCGCCAGGTCCGGCCCCGTAATACGTCCCAGAATTTGCAGTGAACAAGACTGCATCACCTCTGCTCTGCTTACGTTAGACAGGGTTCATAGTTGGCGATTGAGGCTATAGCACCATCTCCCAGGCGATCGCGCGGTTGTCGATCCTGCACACTGGGAAAGGGCGGGGAGGGGAAGGGGGTGTAGCACAGTTGCGCGAACGAGCTACGAACAGTGCCTCACGCAGGTGTTGGGGTACTGTTTAGTGTGTGGCAGGTCCTTCCGTCCGAGACATATTCCAAACCAAACTAAACTGTTCCAAATTGTATGAGGGGAGACGGACGTGCCATTGTGCCTTATCACCCTCACGGCCCTCCCCTTGACTATCTCAGAAGGGAGCAGCGTGACTGTACAGAACACGCGATGGTGAGCCCGACCCTCGTCGATAAGATCAGCGTGGACTGCGCTATCTGACTTGAAATGACAACTGCGGCGAATGTCATAGGTTCAGACTAACTTTTTGGCCCTTTTTGACTAATGAGGAGCTCGGACTATGGCTGGTCCTGTTCAACTTATTATTAACCCCTGAGAGTGAAGACTGGATCTGCTGAAGTTGATAATGGATTGACCTTCTCTTTTCTAAAACACAATGTCGCAGGTTCACGTGCAGCTCTAATCACTGAATGCTCGTCAAACTCGTCCTCAGGCGGCAAACGGACACTCGTTCGGACGAGTTCTAACTATTCAGACGACGAGAATTACGCCACTCTTTATGACTATCTGGATGAGAAAGCCGTTGGCTGTCTCGAAATCTTCACAAGCAATTGTACGCCGCGACAAGTCGATCAGAGCGGGCACGATTTACAGTGCTTGATCCATGTATCACAATCGATATCGATCGATAAATCGAATGTTTCAGCTTCGTAAATGTGGTGCGTCGTTGTTAATACCGGAAAACGCATTGAACTCGGACAGAATGATCTATCTGGCGGTTTCCGATCAAATTATCGACCGTCCTAAAACTACAGCGTACGTTTATCTTTGCACAAACCTAGTTACCAATCTAATAATGGATTTTCAGCTGGAGAATCCAGCGCTTCATCAATAGTGGGGCTCGTGCATGTGAGGTGAGATCGGCTAGTCCGGCTCGGCTGCTGTTGAAGCCTTTGATTCTTTCGATTAGACACTGTGCCTCGGTGTTCCCACGTGATAACTGGTCCTTTATCCTGTATGCGGACGAAGGTACGTCACATTTTGAGGTTTTTTAGGTAATTTTCTTCTAGTATGGGTACTTATTCAGGGTTCGGGTGTACCACAACGAGTCGTAGACCGGTTGGTAGAGGAAAATCTGAACTCGACCGAGTAGCCAATAACACATGGAGAAGACGAAGAAGCACGGGGTGAACGGCTCGAAATGAGGTTGGTGATCAACGTGAATAGCTCGAACACCTTTCGCAGCGTACGGCAAACAGGGAAGATTATCACGAGCGGGTCGATTACCCATCTCTTATCGGATTATTTGGCCCCAACTGAGCCCTTTCTGACAGTTTTGTAGTGAAAAGCGAAGTTTCTGAAAGTTGGTACTGTGTCGACAGTTTTTACCTACGTGACAGCATTTGACAGAGCAAGCCAAGCAAGCTTGGGATTCAGCGCTCTTGCACTGTTCAGCTTAAGCTGTGGATTTTGGGTTACACCCCACATGCAGTGTTCCTGACTTCTCAGGCATATTTTGACCTTGTGGGGGCACCAAATGGCAGGATCTGTGAAATCCTGTAAACAAAATGATTAACTCTTATCATTTTCGCACGGATCTCAGCGAAGTGTAACAAACCTCTTCAAAAGAGTAAGTGACGTGCAGAAGGCCCCTCCTATGCCGTACGGCACTCTCTTTAATTGACTCAGATCTACCCGGGTATTCCATGAGTACGACAAATTTTATTTTTGCGAACATATAATCCTGATATGGCTTGGGAGGCCATAGTCTTTATGAACGCGCTAACTTTGGGAGCTGAAAATGTTTCCCAGAGTCATTGTTCAGGGTAATGTTGGCCGGTCGACCACGACGAGCCTCAGCCGCTGCATGCAAACGAGTTCACCTGGCCGCCTACGGACCATCGGAGCGACCTCGAACGTCCAGCTTTGATCTGCGGGTCTACTGTGTGCCGGAGACTGGAGCCGCCATGGAAAGCGTTGCGAAGCAGGAACAGCATGGACGGTAAGCGTTGCATATTTGACTTTTACCAGGTCAAGTACAAACCTGGAGATTCTCTAAACTAGTTGCTCGTGGAACAAAGTGAAACTGTGTTGTGAGGTCAGGTGAAGTCATTTAGCTAGATTTTTCAGGTTACTTGCGGAATCCGAGCACTTTTTGCTAAACGAGAAAGGTGATCTCTGTTTCTGTGTCGAGGATGTCTCCGAAGGCTTCTCCACACGTGGATCAGCGCTCGTGGTAAGATTTATGTATTTTTTTGTTTCTTGAGGATCAGAACAAATATTTCTTCGCGGTGACCTCTTATTTGTGCCCTTTCCCCTCCATTTTCATTCTCTTTTTTCGTTTCAGTCTAGAAAATTCCAAAGAGATCTACAGAGTGCTCAATTTATTGATTTGTACTTTTATAAACCATTCTATAGCCCTACGCTAATAACCTTGGGGGTACAGGTTAATGAAGTTCTGGGGCAAAACCAGAATTAGTACAGTTCATCATTGCGGACCGGTGGGGCGTGTCAGCCAGTATGAGTGTGCACACTGTTGAAGCCGTTCTCAGCCTTTTTGTTGAAACGCGTATGCGACAAAAGTGGTAGAAAACGAGTAATACGGAGGATATAATACAGT